ACTCCCACCTGTTCATGCTCTCTGTATGTATCTGTATATATATCTCCTCAATATATGTTCCATTCTATGCATCCGAAGTAGTGGGCTGTAGCCCACGAAAGCTTATGCTCTAATAAATTTGTTAGTCTCTAAAGTGCCACAAGTACTCCTGTTCTTTTTGCGGATACAGACTAACACGGCTGCTACTCTGAAACCTCTCCTTATAGTGTGTATGGTAACACCCATTGTTTCATGTTCCCTGTGTATATATATATCTTCTGTATTTTCCACTACATGCATCCGATGAAGTGAGCTGTAACCCACGAAAGCTTACGCTACAATAAATTTGTTAGTCTCTAAGGTGCCACAAGTACTCCTGTTCTTTTTGCGGATACAGACTAACACGGCTACTACTCTGAAACCAAATTACTGAGGAGCCTAGAATTCTGTTTGTGTCTCTGCAGGAGTCTAGGCAGCAGTTTTACATGGTTCCCATACTTCCGCCTTCTCAGCCCACAAAGACGTAGCAGTTCTTGCTTTAGCTTGATTTAAAGAACGCTCCATTAGATGTTGGATTCATCCCCCAAAGGAAGGGGTGGGAGACCCATATTTGGGACATTTCAAAACAGAGAGACAAAAGCCCCAGGGAATGGACTATAGCAAATAATTTTGCATTGGGAGTTGAGGGGAAAGGAGATGGATAAATGATCCAGCAGGCTGTCTCCATCCCCAGTTGTATGGCTGTACAAAGAACTTCTACAGGACTTGGACACTTGGAACATACATGGGTTTAGCTGCCACACAATAGATGCACGTGGCAGCAGACACCCCCGCTTTGTTCCCTTGTTTGTACAACAGAATATCACAAAGCATATTTATAAATTCTTTTGTTCTAACCAGGTAACAGCGATGTTCTCCAAATGCCTGAAAAGCACAGCCTGGCTGCGGATGGATTCTTTGGACATGGGCAAAGAGATCATTTGACTAATGTAGCACACCGTACTGCAGCTATTATAGGAGGGAGGCCTGGATCTGTTGTGTTTTTAATTGATTAGGCAAATTTAGTGTCAGTGAAAAGTGCTGGGCCTGGAGACTGATTTCCTCTCTTCATCCAGAGCCTAGATACAGCACAGCAATTATAATAGGCCACTCTCTTACCACTTCAAAAGTTATTTCTCCTCCCTTGGTATCCTGTTGTTAATTGATTTATCACATTAGACTGACTTAACACTTAGTAAAGCAACCCACATCCTTTCATGTATTTATACCTGCTCCTGTATCTTTTACGTCGTACATCTGATGAAGTGGGTTCTAGCCCACGAAAGCTTATGCTCAAATAAATTTGTTAGTCTCTAAGGTGCCACAAGGACTCCTCGTTTTTTTTGTTGATACAGATTAACATGGCTACCACTGAAACTTCAGCTTTGAGATTCCCACCATGGACAAAAGGGGATTTCGCTCTCCCTGGCCCACTTATTCCTTGGCCTCTCTGCTTAGAATGCCAGGATGTGCATTTAAACCAGGTCATGGTTTACACATTTTGGATGTCTGAGACCGACCAGTTCATTTCAGAACCAGAGATCTGGGAATGAAGTACACCCGGACTCCTCTTAAAGCACTTGTCATCAGTGACTTTAAAAAATGGCACCTTTTTACTAACTGTATCAACACCTTGTGCATCATCAAGTCAGAGCATGTGACTTGACTGACACAAACCATCCTTTCCTCCTGCAGTTGCAGTTATAGGAAAGTGAGCTAGAGTCTGTTCTGCCTCACCCATTGTCTGAAATGAATCCTTATCAAGAAGCACCCTGCACAGGACAGAAATACCTCTGGTCTGACCAAGGCTGATGCTCAAGGGGAATTATATATGTGCAGCCCGGTAAAGCACTGGCTTTTTTGCAATAACATCTTAATTATTTTTATTTATTATTTGTACTGTGGTAGCACCTAGAGCCCCAGTCACGAACCAGGACCCCACTGCACCAGGTGCTGTACAGACACAGAACAAAGGCATTTCCAGCCCCAAAATACAAGCACATGGTTAATGTGCTGCCCACTGTATGAGATCAGTGTTTTTATTATAGCACAGAATGATACAGGAAGCTGCGGAGAAATTTTCACATATTTACCTCTAGGTTGCTCTAGTTCAGGGGTGGCCAACCTGAGCCTGAGAAGGAGCCAGAATTTACCAATGTACATTGCCAAAGAGCCACAGTAATACATCAGCAGCCCCCCATCAGCTCCCCCACCCTGCTCCCAGCGCCTCCCGCGCACCGGCAGCCCCGCCGATCAGCGCCTCCCCCTCCCTCCCCGCACCTCCCGATCAGCTGTTTTGTGGTGTGCAGGAGGCTCTGGGGGAGAGGGGGAGGAGTGAGGGCATGGCAGGCTCAGGGGAGGGGGCGGGAAGGGATGGAGTGGAGTGGGGGCAGGGCCTGTGGCAGAGCCAGGGGTTGAGCACTGAGCACCCCCCCCGGCACATTGGAAAGTTAGCGCCTGTAGCTCCAGCCCCGGAGTTGGGGCCTATACAAGGAGCCGCATATTAACCTCTGAAGAGCCGCATGTGGTTCCGGAACCACAGGTTGGCCACCCCTGCCATAGAGACAAGTGTGTGTGGGTGAGTGTGGGTGTAAACTGCTGCCCTCTATTGGATGGAATGGGAACTGCTCAACAGTGTGTCAGGATCCCTGCTGCTCTCAGTTTGTGATTTCCCTTTAGCCCTGTTGTTGCCAACAAATTCCAAGCAGCTAGCCAGGCCAGCATCACAATGTTTTATATTATACTCTCTTGTACTCAGTGTTTTTGAACACCAGGATAGCTTATTCACTAATGTACATGGGGAAATATTTATTCAGTCTATTTTGGGAAATAGATTATTTGACCCATGTGAGTTGGAGATCAATTTCCCCCTCTCAAACGGACCCTGTTCAAACTTACACCGCTCATCTGTACTAAAGACATTTCTAGCCCATCTCTGGGGTTTTTTTAAAGTCAGACGGTGCCACCTAGTGGTCAGAGAAAGTATAACCATGCTTGGGCTTCCAGTTCAGTACATTCTCTCAACTGCGCTGGTAACTGCATCGCTTGTCCTGAAAAAAATCTTAAATACAGTTCGACTTTGTGAAACTAGACAGAATTTGAACCGTGTCTGATTGGGGTTGTGTTTATGCTTGCTTTCTTTGTTGAAGAGCGTCATGGATCTCACCTATAGATCAGGGCAGTACTGGAAGATTTTGAAGAGATGAGATGAGGCTCAGGTGTTGCAAATTCATAAACAGTTAGATTCAGAGTGGATCCCTCTTCCATTTCCAGCTGCACTGGGTTTTCCTGGAGGTGGAAATGCAGGAAAATGGAGGTTGAGGACAGATGAGAATAGAGAAAAGGGACTTGTATCAAGACACTCTCTACACTGCAGTTTGGATCAAGTCGGGAAACTATTTTCAGGAGCTGACCTTGAAACACATTGTCCTTCTATACCGAGATTTCTATCGAAGGATTTCAACAGATTTTATCTTGTAGAATATGTTATTATCCCCGTTACAGATGGGGAAACTGAGGCACATATGGGAGGAAAACGACTTGCCCAGGATCACACACAGTGGCAGTGCCAGAGCTCAGAACAGAAGCCAAATCTTCTGACTCCCAGTCCCCTGTTCTCACCACTGGAAATTCCTACCTCCCCCAGTTTCTCAAACAGCTTCGGATCCCGTAAGGTGGTTCTGCTGGCTGACGTGGGCAGGGGAAACCTATCAAAAATCCTTAGATCTATGACAGTTTCCCTGCACCATTTTAAAAACCTTGCCCCTGTCCATGCTGTGTGGCACTGGCCAACAGATCATTTCTTGTAGATGGTGTCTTAATACAACCCACATTGCAGCAGAGATGGGGCCTGACTTCTTCATTGTCTTGTACGCAAATGCTATGACATTTCCGCACCCAAGCAGAGAAACACTCAAACACAACTGCTTTATTGAATTGCTAACTTCTCAGCTACCCTGAGTTCACTTCCTGAAGCTCTACCAGTTCCTGTGTCAGCTTTAAAGTGACAATGTCTCTTGGCTGAACAAACATATTGTACTGCAGACAGTATTGAGGAAGGCAGCAGCAAAGAAAGGATGGCCCAGTGTCTAGGGGACTGGCCTAGGACTGAGACCTGGGTTTAAGTCCCTGCTCTACTACCTCTATGACCATGGCCAAGTCACTTAGTCTCTCTGTGCCTCAGTTTCCCCACCTATAAAAAGGGAGTAGTAGCATTGTTCTGCCTTACAGGTGCCCAGATACTATGATAAAGGGGCCATATAAGTGCTGAAGACAGATAGAACCTAGAAATCTAGCCAGACAGAGAAGTGCATAATTTGAGTGTCTGGGAAAGAGTGGGGCCTGGAGGGTCAAATGTAGCACTCCTTGCAGTAGAGAAATGGGGCTCAGTTGTACCCATTTATAGTCTATCTGGGTGAGTCCGAACCACTCGCCTCCATCTCAGAACCCCTTTTGGCATCACTCAAACTGCCTTGCAATGACATTTAACGGAGGTAATGCCGGATGGTGGGAACTGTACAGCGCCCAGTGCTATGAATTTGGCCACCCTTTGAACTGAAGGCCTCAGAGAAGGATCAGATTGAGTTGTTGTGTCTCCTCTTGCACTGTTTGGAATGTTAATTAGGAAAATGCAGGTGTCATTTCAATGGAATTGTCAATGAAGGCAAAATAACTTTGCAGACATACCTCCTCTCATCCAAAGGACTTGATACGCTAATTAAACCTCACAGTACACCTCTGTCAGGTGGTACGTATCCTTATCTTACAGATGCCTCGAGAAGTTAAATGACTATGGTCACTAGCATATCTGGGAATAGAACCCCAAAAACCCTGAATACCAGTTCCCTGCTCTAACCACTACACTGCACTACTTCAATTTTAGCATTAATTTTTTCATCCTTCACAGCTCTAAGTGCCTCCAAGGCACCTCCCTCTTGCAATCAGGGAGGCCAGCTGTGTTGTCAGGACCACACATCTTGCAGTTACATAACCCAGCAGAGGCTTTAGGTCATCTCTAGCAGGAACTTCAGGGGCACAATCTAGAAATATTGCTAGGTCCTGACAGCAGAATCTCAGTTAGGGGCAAGGATGAAAGAGGCAGAGAGGACCCAGCAGGATTTTCTGATCCCGGTTGGGTATACAGCATTAGCAGTTGCAAAAATGTAATGTAAAAATCACTGATTTGAATTTGGAAGCTAAGCAAACGATATCTGGGATCAGTACGCGAGAATAAAGGAGAACCCCAGGCTGTCCTTTTAACAGTCCCTTTTCCAAACGGGTGAGCGCTTATCCTTGCTTGTAAAGTAAAAGTGAAAGTACCTCACCACTAGTTTAGCCCACTGCTCTGTATTATATAACCAACCTTAGGAACAGGAAGCTTCCGTCGCTGCTTGTACATGTTGATGAGTTTGTTCCATGGAGACAGCTCTGCCTTCGGAGATCCTCCATTTAGATCCTCTGTTTACAAAACCCCACAAATAAAGCAGTGAATCCTCTGAGTGGTCTCATCGTACATCCTTACGCTGTCCCATATGGAAGGGTAATACATGTCCCAGATTCAGTATTTGATCAAGGGCCAACTCCTTTGCTGGCATATCTCCAGTGGAGTGAATGGTGTTAGGCCAGTGGAGAGCTCAGCCCCTCGTATTTAAACAGATGAGGTCATATAAAATTAACTAAAATGAGTTATAAAGGGTGGCCACATACTATGGTGATAAGGATCATAAATGCACTCGGATCAAAGTGTCATTTCTCAGCTGGACTCTTTATGGCTATGGAAAGGGTTTCTACTCTGTTTCTGACCCATCCACAGTGGCTTCTCCTCCCCAGTGCTGAGACCTGCTTCCATGTCCATTGGACTGAGCCCAGAGACTTTCCCAATACAGCACAGAGTGCCTACAGTATCTGAGTTCTCAAGATTCAGGGATCAGCATGGATGTGAAGGAATAGACAGAGGTATCTGGAAACCTCGTCTACCTACCAGAATACCTGACAATTCTCAAGAGATGTAATTCCCAAATGGATCAGGAGGGATTCCCTTTCCCTGCAGCCTCTCTATCATTCCTCACCTTTCAGGAGGCACTCTCTCTCCTCCTTGGCATGGAAGTCCTTGGGGGTCATTGCCAGGGGTCCTGCAGTCAGTGTGATTCCTTCGTTGTCAGCACGCAGAACCTGGGAGATTCCAGCCCTGAACCCAAAACACAGTTACGCATGGTTGGGTGCTCATGAACAGGATGGCACTCAAGTGACCACATGCTCACTCACTCCAACCACGAGAACAAGGCCTTCGCCCAGTTCAAAGCAAAGAGGTGGATCACATTTAAAACACCAGCACAACCGTCACTGATTGTCCCACTTGTTGAAGGACTTGACCTAAAGAGGCCAAGGACTGGAAGGGGCCACAACGCTGATCGCTCATGTACACCTAAGTGCAAAGCAACTCCATGAACGTCAGTGGTGTTAGTCCAGATTTACAATGGAGTTACTCCACATTTACACTGGAGTTACTCCACATTTACACTGGCATAGCTGGAAGCAGAACCGGGCCTTTCACTTACAATGTCAGGAGTGGAGCCCGGTGACTGTACATCCCAGGATATTTCTATAGCCCAGCTAGTCTGTGCTGGTGCTGACAGCCTACTGCAGTGGGTGAAGAGCAAATAAGATGCTGCTTGCTTAGTGATCTTCTGTAAAGCCCAAACTAGTGGCCCCGTATAAAGAGACCATTGCCCAGGATCTGACAGGCTTCCAGTTGTCAATATGGGCCCACAACAAATTCATATTTACTCCGAGGCAACCCACAACCCTCTCCACTATCTAAAGGCTGAATGCTTGTCCCATTTAATGGTCCCCCAGATCTGTGTGGAAGGGGGACTGGGAGTTTGGCCACCTATCTCAGTGAGGCCAGGATCCGGCCTTGTGTTGCTAACAACCAAACTCACTTTCCCCATGTTCCAGTGTCACCAGAAGCTTCTCCCACCCTCTCTGCCTCTCTGCCAGAGATTCCGCTGCATAGATCCTGGGCTGTTTTATCTTTGCCCACAGCAGTGTTGACAAAGCCACCGGAGTCTGCCATCTCCATGCCACTGGGGTCCAGCATAGGAGGGGATTTCCTGCCATGGCTGGAAGGGGCTCCCCCAAGACTGATATTCTTCAGTTCTCCAAGGATCTCCTCCATGCGGTCGCCTGTTGCATCTCCACGGGGCTCATCGGTCGGGTGGTCGCCCGTTAGCTCTTTGGCCGCTGGCTCGCTGGTCTCAGACTCAGCCCCAGCAGGCACCAGGGAGCTGTTTTCTTCTAGGTCCCTGACGTCCCCACTCTCTTGTGCATCTGCTCTGGTTTCTGGGACCTCCTGCACGCTCTGCCTGAGCCCAAAGAGGTTCTTAACAAGCTGGAGCACCGAGGGCCTGCTGGAAACAAGGGGAACGGTCAGAGGATTCATCTCTCTCAGCTTTTGCAGGAGGGGATCTGGTGAGGTCACCCCGACAGCTGGGCCGAGGTTTCTCAACAGTTTAGAACCAGGGATTCAAATTGAAATATGGCCGCCTCCAGAATTCAGAACGGCCTAGGAGTTCCAGAGTTCTGCGGGGGAGGCGGAAGACCAATCGAGCTGAGATGCTGTGCAAGAAGGGAGCAACCAGAGAAATGGTGGGCGCTCATGAAACATTCAGTCATAGCAAGATGACTTATTTATATGGAATCCCCCCTCCCCACCCCTGTCATCTGGCATTGATTTGAAGGCCCTCCACTTTGATCTCTTACAACAAGATGGAAGGAAAAGATAGGTCAGTAGAAATGTGGGCAAATTGCTCCAAAAAGGGATACTGGTTAAATAAGGAAGCTAACAATATTTACTTTTGCTGTAGGTATTGTTAGAGCAAATGGTCTAAAAGGAGGCAACTCCACTGGTCACTGGGAGATAATTAATTCCTTGCAACAATAAGAAAACAAAGAAAGCAGTCCATTTCTGATGGTTTTACAGTTTCACTGATGAGTTCGGCCAGGTCAACATTAGAAACATTTGCTGGTTCACATTGGCTCACAGCAGTGTTGACAAAACCACCGGAGTCTCCCATCTCCAAGCCACTGGGGTCCAGCATAGGAGGGGAAATGGTGGGTAGGGTTTATGATTTTTTGGTGTCTTTTCTATACTGGCAAAAGCCCTAATCCTTTGCTAGTATGAACTGCATCTACACTAGGAGTGTTCGTCAGTGTAGATACACCAGCAAACCTTTTCTAGTGGAGACCTGGTCTTAGTTCTCAGTTGCTGTGCAGGCTGCTTTTTGCAGGGCGACATTTTTCCACTTCGGCTCTAAGGTCCCCTCTGCATCGTGACAATCAGGGACCCTTATTCTCCACAGTCTTGCACCCCACCATTTACACCAGTCCACAATGGGTATAAAACACTGCCATTCTGATCTGGGAGCATCTGCCACCCTCTTTGCACTGGCGTACGTGCCTCTGCAAAGCCAGGGCAATGGAGAATCAGGGCCAGGGTGCGTGGGATCTCTGTTACAATACGGAACTGCTCTGAGGCGGTTAAAAGACAGCTCAGTCTTGCCATGAAGATAAGACCAAGCAGCATTAGCACCAAGTTCCTGAATCATGCAACGGCCTTGGATGCTGCTGAGCTCCAGCACAGTTCAGTCCCATCGCACTGCACGACCAAACCAGGCCTTCACCATGTCAGCAGAGCATTGCATTGTACGTGGATCCCCCTTCACAGTTGATACAGAAGCGATGGGATCTCAAAGACCTGATGATCTCAATTACCTTCAGCTGTCAACACCATCTCCCAGTGGTCTTAGTACCTCTCCCCCCTTCATACTTAACACTTTCAAATCCATTTCCTGGTGTCCTGGATACCTCTCTCTTTTCCCCCCTCTCTCTGACACACACTCCAGCCACACCCATTTGCAGATGTATCATGTTACTAGCGAGAGGAGACGCTTGTTGTTTGAATCGTAGTTTCCCCCGGGGAGGAATTACTGGGAAGCTCATAGGCCTAGAGCAGAATCTCTCACAACTCTTCTCTGGACCAAGAAGCAGGTGACGTTGTGCAGTCTACATGGTTTTATAAAAATATAATAATAAGTCAATATAATGTAACTGGGATAGATTTAGAGAAAATACGGTAATAAGTGATATAATGTAACTGGGATATGCTTCATGCAAAAGGTCTCTTGTAAGGTATCATTACAAAGTGCATAATCTACTGAGTATGATCATCTAATTTGTATAAATGTACCACTCTTGTATCTAAAACTAGAAATATAAAATGTAACTC